AACCCCAGCATTGACAACTTAGCAACTGAGGGAAATTCTGTCTCAAAAGGGCTGGGGATGTAGCTCAATGTAAACGGCCTAAATTCAATCTCCAGTGTGGAGAAAGAAAGAAAAGAAAGGAAGAAAGGAGGAAGAAAGGAAAGGGAGGACAGAGGAAAGAAAGAAAAGCAAAGAAAAACCACTCAGGCCTTGGAGTTACCTGTACCTAAGCGTGGATTTTAGCTTCCTCACTTACTGCGAATGGAATCAGTATAGTGCCTATTCCAAAAGCTGCCCTGTGGATGAATGTGCTTACATAGGGTTCTTTGTAAACAGTTATAATTTTATTAGGTGAATGTTGAATTAAAGTGCTTAATATTTGTAAAGTGTTTAGAACAGTTCCCAGCCCAGGGTGAGTGCTTCTTATTTGTGTTTATTTTTCTAATGTTGCTGTTGACCAAATTAAATTTCATTCATTTTGTTCAGTCTGTTAGGGATATTACTTGGAAATTCTACATTCTTCAGAAAGAAAAGGCCTAAAATATATACTATAAATTCTCATTAGCTCAAAATACATCATTCTGCAATATGTGATAATTCAGAAAGGAATCTGGTCTGAACACCTTTGTGGTATTTATGGGGAAATGATGGGTGCTACAAAAAGATGCCATTACATTACTTAAGGAAATCATTTCAAAGCACTTCAGCGATCCCACTCATGTAGCATTAACAATTCAAGCATGCAGGGATTTGTCTGACACCTGTCTGTCCAGACATTAACTTAAATTTTTAACCTAGTTCTTGTAAGACACTAATTTTGCATCATGACCAAGTACACGGTAATATATGTGTGTGGGAACATATATTTATGCATATATGTGCACATACTGTATAAATGTGTGTGTATAATGGAAACAGACTATACTATATAGTAGTTACCCTTAGTGAAGCGATGAACACTTTTTCCAAGTTCATTGCATTCTATGCATTCAATTCTGTCTCATTCAAAAAATGCTACTCAAACTCTACTAAAAAGATTTAATGACCAACTATAATGGTTTGAAGCCATTGGCTTGATAAAAACATACATATATCTACTGGTGGTACTGGGGATTGAACTCAGGGCCTTTGCACTGAGCTATAGCAGCTTTTTTATTTTTTGAAATTTTCAGACAGGATCTTGCTAATTTGTCCTGGCTGGGCTCAAATTCATGATCATTTTTTCTCAGCCGCCTAGAGTGCAGGATTACTGTTGTGCACCGCAGCACTAGGCGTGGTTCATATCTCTTCTACATAAATACAGATATCTACTGCTGTGAACCAGTGTAGTCAAATGTTAGCAGTCAGTAGGATCCCCCAGAAGATCCGTTAAATGGGTTGCTGGGCCCCAGCACGTGAGCGGGTCAGGACTGGCACTTCCAGGAACTCCCAAGGTGGTGCTGCTGCTACTGGGCTGCAGACCACAACCCGAGAAGCTCCACTCTAGTCACATGGGGGTCTGAAAACAAACTGAGCCTCATTACGTTTTCCTATGCCTGTCTGGCCCCAGCTTTACTTTTAAATTCATTTACTCTTTGCCTTAGAATCAACACCACCTCCTACCTGGATCCTTAGCTAATTCTGGGTTTCCCCACTTTTGGTGGGCCTGCTGTTGCTCTATTCCCTACCAGTCAAATTGTCCACATTCGTCTTCACAGTAGTGGGCCTCCCTCTTCCCCCTCCC